TTGTATTTTTCAGTGCGCGTTACGCTAGCTCAATGCCCAAGTGCGCACTTAGTGAATAAATGGTTATAACAGTCATTTCCTTTTGATTATGGAAAGTTTACAAACAATACAATTTGTAATTTCATAGTTGTAACATAAATATTAGCCAAGCATTGTTCAGAAATGTTTTTGTTTTTTTGGTGCCTTATGTATTTGATGAGTTTGTTTTCGAGACATAACTCTTTTTGTTTATTATATTTAATTCATGACGTATTGTACGGTTTCGTCTTTTTTTATAGTCTATGAATTATTTTCTCTTTTTTATTACGTATATTGTTTTTTTGTCTCATTATCTCGCGCTGTAATTTACCTTACGTCTTAAACTACCAACTTTAGCGAGAAAAAAACTCTATTGTCTAGTATTTTAATATGTGGACGTTTTGGCTTCTGTTGTCTGCAGTATTTCTCGACGTATTTGGAAACTACATGGTTGAAGTATTTCACCTAAAATGATCAGAGTGAAAGTAGAAAAGCGTTTGTGTTCATATCGCTTTGTATCTCCTTCTAGAAAACATTTTTCAACGGTGTATTACGTCAGCGTGTCCTCTTTGATGCAATTCTAACATTTTATGCAATATTTTAACAATAAAAGAGGAAAAGTATTGTATTACATTAGGTGATTTCCTGCTATATGAACACAATGAATCATATGGTAAATATCCTTCTGCTTTTTATAGCAAAAACTTCCTTTTTCCTCCCACAAAACATATACTCACATTCTATATAGTACATCAATTTCTAAAAGGGAAAACATCCAGGTCAGATGCAGGCTTGGTTAATCAATCCTCTTGTAGAATTACCGAAAATCTGTTGGTATTTAACTACAAGAATATCAATAATTCATCATCTATTGAAATTTGTAAGTATTTAAAAGAACCATTCCAAGCAAAAGTATATAACAATGTTGAATTTCGTACCTTTGAACGCTGTTTATGCTTTATAGCATTTATATAATAGAAATGAGTTTCAAATATCGACAGTTTATTCTACCAATCTTTCAAAAAGCTAGTTTGATGCTTTTATATTGGTTGAAAACAATGCCTCTTTAGAGTAGAAAACAGTACCATGTTTTCAGCTTATGCATTTTCCAGTGGCACTGGTACAAGTTTCTTTTTACAACACACTAAGAGAATTGAATCCAGATTGTTGAGTTAATTAGTTTCCCGAGCTTTTGAGCTGTTGTAAAAGTTAACTTCTCATAATTCACATATATTACTTGACCGTTTTAACTACCTTAACCTGGAACATTTTCGTTTATTCTTGTATTTTCAATTAAGCGAAAATAGAGACAACGATTATGTTTTCACTATGGAAATGAACCAAAAGCTCTTCAGTATACACACGTACAACTTTCAGGGTCAGAGTGATTAGATTGTTACTTCAATAGGATACTTCTAGCCTTTAATAAGGAAACTGGGCCCGGCATGGCCAGGTGGTTAGGGCGCTCGACTCACAAT